CCACATGCGATTTTATTAGCTGGACAACAGTGCCACACATCTCTCTAGCAGCAGTTAGTCACCTCCTGCCACAGCAAATGCTTCCCAAAAACCTTCTCTCCTTGCACCCAACACAACACAGTTTGTGCAGAGCCCTGACAGCCTGTGCTGATGGGCACTCTGTCACGTTTAACCTGCAGCATGAGATCAGTCATGGACTGGTTTGGCTTGGAAGGACCTTAAAGCTCAACCAGTCCCACCCCTGCCCATGGGCAGGGACACCTTCCCCTAGCCCAGGGTGCTCCAACCTGCCTTGAACACTTCCAGGGATGGGACAGACACAGCTTCTCTGGGCAGCATCTTCAAACAAGCTGAACTCAAGCTACAGCCAATGGGATCCATAACACTGTGTAGGTGCTGCTGGAAAATGCTGTTTTATGTGAAAACATTGTGGGGTTAATTCTTATCAGCATCACATCAGTCAAGGGTGAATGAAATTGCAACAAGTACTTGTAAGGATTAGGAGGAATAAAGTAAACGTGATGGAGGTTTATCCTTTTCAGTCCAAGATGAGAATTAAGAATGTAACTGGTGAAGGAAGCAACATCAAAAGGGAAAATTTATTCTGTGTTTACTGATCTCTAATGTCCATTTGAAACTGAGCCCTCCAGATTAAGAGGTGTGACTGACACCAACAAACTGAAACGAAGCTGTTTGCACTTTCCCTGCTCACACTGGTACTGACCAAACGCTCCCTCTGTTGGCTGCAGGCTCCTTCCTCTTCCAGATAACTGGGAATTCAGCTCTCGTGTCTCCACACAGAATGGAATCCAGTACCAGGAAGGACACAGAATTCCATTTGCAACAGTGACCACACTTGTATGCCCCAGTTCCATAGGATGATGTTCTGCTCCAGGCAGAACTCACAGAGCTCATCCAATTCCCTCATTCTTGGAGCCTGTTAGGCAGAGGAAGCCCAGAATTGCCATCAGTCTGTCACACCTCCTGTGTAGTCACCACTGAACTCATTTCCTTCCTCATTTTGCATGGATGCTGCAATCAGCAGCTCAGGTCTGTGTCAGCTCTCTGCATTCTCCCCTCAGCCACAGAACCCCAGGATGGTTTGGCTTGGAGGAACCTTAAAGCTCACCCAGTCCCACCCCCTGCCCTGGGCAGGGACATCTTCCACCAGCTCAGGTTGCTCCAAGCCCCATCCAACCTGGCCTGGAACACTCCCAGGGATGGAGCAGCCACAGTCTGCACACACCAAGTCTGTGACAGAGTCAACCCCAAACCCACACACCTTCCCTGACAAGGAAACTCTCCAACTACATTTTACAGACTAGAGATATTTGGAAGGGACTCTTTACAGTCTGGTGCTAAGAAAATGACTCAGGATAAAACCATTTGCAAGTTAGAGAGAGCTGAGGAACAGCTGCCCAAAATATCCTCCAGTTACCAGACTAACCAGGGAGAAGCTGCCCAGAAGTGTTGGCAGTTACTGTTACAAAAGAGCACCTGACAGATTTGGTCCAACTTGGAAGAGATCTGAATGCTGCAGGAAAACAATACAGAATATAAACTGGTCCATCCACAAAGAAAGTAAAAACCAGATGCAGTGTGTCCCCTCCCTTGTTCAGTGAGAGTCTGCTGGACCTTCCAGCCCACGAATTCCTGGGTCCTGCTCAGCGAAGGCAGCAGCCTGCCAGGCACAGAGATCACCTTCACCACATTTGCCTGCTTAAGAGAATGAGCTCCCAAAAACTCCAGTCCTTGGGGTTTTCCTCAACCCAAGGGACAACCTCAAATCTTCTTAGCAAACAGGCACTTAATTAGGAAGGATTTTCCTTTTTATTACAGAAGTGAAGGGTCAGGCAGGTGGCACTCCTGGCACGGGGAGATGTTGCACATTGCTGTGCAGGTGCACAGAGAGCAGACACCCACCTGACAGGGCACAGGGGC